AACCTCGCCCGCACCCTGGACCAGCTCAAGGAGGCCGGCTTCTGGACCTACGGGCTGGCCGAGAGCGGCGACACGAAAATCGGTGACCTCGACCTCAAGGGCCGGACCTGCATCGTGCTCGGCGCCGAGGGCGAGGGACTGCGCCGGCTGACCGCCGGAGAAATGCGACCGGCTCGTGACGATCCCGACCAACGATGCCCTCTCTGCCCTCAATGTCTCCAACGCCGCTGCGGTCGCGGCCTACGAATGGGCGCGGCAGCGACCGGCGGCCTGAGACGAACGTCCCACCGAAAAGATTCTCTTTCTTCCGGTGGCGCCGCACCCGACTTCCAGACAAATTTACTGTCGCTGCAAATAGATTGCAGTGACGGTAAATTGGGGTTTGGGGCGAGATGGCGTCTTTCATAGCGACGAACACCAGCACGACGACGAGCAACGGCTTCGTTTTCCCGGGGACCGACGACGAACTCTTCGTTCCGCTGAACGTCTACATCTATGCGACAGGCTCAGGCTTCGTTGGCGTCACCGGTTCCGGCGGCGGGACAGTCCAGAACAACGGCGCCGTCGTGGGTCACGACGCAGGCATCTCGTTGGGCGCCGCCAACCAAGCGACGACCATCCTCAACTTCGCGGCGGGCACCATCGGGTCGACCGCCGGCGATGCCATCGACGTCGTCGCCACCGGTTCGGAGGGTCTCGTCGACATCCAGAACGACGGCATCGTGAACGGCGCGAACATCGCGATCAGTGTCGATGGCGCCGGGCAGGTGGTGAACAACGGGCTGGTTTCCTCAGCAGGCATCGGCATTACCCAGTTGGGGACCGCTGCCTCGACCGCCCTCTTCTCGCTCGTCAACGGTGCGACCGGTGTGATCGTCGGTGGCTACAACGCCCAAGGCAGCCTGATCACCGAGCAGGTGAACAATAGCGGCATCGTAAATGGAGCCATTGCGCTGGGCGACGCCGATGGCGCCTCGTTCACCAACCAGGCGGCCGGCCGCCTGACGGGAGCAGCCGTCGGCAGCGGCGGCTCCGTCACGTTCGGAGATGGTGACGGCGACAAATTCCTGAACGTCGGCACGATGGGCGCCCTGGTCTGGGGCAATGGCGACGCTGCCTACGCGCTGAACTACGGCGTCATGGGTGGCATCACGCTGGGCGACGGCGACGACGCATTCTTCGGCAATGCCGGTACCATCAACGGCGACGTACAGCTCGGCAACGGTACCGGGCAGATCTTCGATTCCACCATCGGCCGGATCTACAACACCGCCAGTCCGAACGGCGCCACCATCACCGCGGGCTCCCAGGGCGCCGTGATCGTCGGCGCCCTGAATGGGGGCCAGCTTGTCGGCGGTGCCGGCAACGACGTGCTGATCGCCAACCAGACGGATCAGGTCGGCTACAACATCCTGACGACACTGGACGGACAGGGCGGCAGCAACGCGCTCTATGGCGGCCAAGGCACCAACGTCTTTCTGTCCGGCGATGCGACCTACAACCAGATCTGGGGCGGCGCGGCGGCCGTTCCCGCCAACGGCTTCACGAACAACACCGTCGACTATGCGGCGGTGACCGGCGCCGGGCGCGGCATCTATGTCGACCTGCTGAACGGCCACAACGCCTATATCATCGACAACGGCTCCTATACGTTCATCGATTCGATCGTGAACGTGCCAAACGTCAACGGCACCGCGGGCGTCGACATCATCCAGGCCGGCGCCGGGCTCAGCGTCATCGAAGGCCGCGGTGGCGGCGACCAACTGTACACCGGCACAGGCGCGGACACGTTCGTCTACACGAGCTACGGCGACAGCAACCTGGTGACCGGCTACGACACGATCTCGGGTTTCCGCAGCGGCATCGACAAGATCGACGTCTCGGCGTTCGGCCTGACGAGCAGCCATGCGCTGATCCAGTCGAACGCGACCGACACGGTGCTCTATCTCAAGACCACGTCGGGTGACTTCAACCCGGCGACCGATCTCGCGATCTCCTTCACCGGCGCCAATGCGCTCGCGACGTCGGACATTGCCTTTGCGTCGAGCGAGCCCAATGGCTGGTCGTTCTACGACTACAACAACTATTTCGGCACCGGCTATCCCGATCCGAGCTATATGCCGACCGGCACGACGGAGTTCACGGGCTACATCAATGTCGGCATCGTACTCGAGCGGGCGCACGATCCGACCGGCATGCTGCAAGACGACTGGGGCACGCGCCAGAAGGCGCTCGCCGCGCTGGGCGACGACCCGTTCGGTTACTACGGCGCAAGTCAGGAATCGTATAGCGACCTGATCAATGCGCTGGGAGAGCTGGATATTCATCTCTCGACCAACCCGGCCTACGAGTCGGGAAGCGAATCGCGTACCGCCTGGGTCAAGCTCTCGGCCTACGATTTCGGGAAACTGTTCGGGCAGGAGTTGCTCTACCGGAACGGCGACAGCGGCGCGATCTACTGGAACGGAAACCTCGCGCTCAATTCGAAGGTCGCAGATCTCGGCACGGTGAAAGGCCTGTCGTTCGACATCGATTATGGCGACGTCCAAATGGCGGGCATCGACCTGCCCAACAAGGTCCTGCCGGACGGGGCCACGGCCCAAGGGGTCCAACTCACGGACGGACGCCAGGGCGCGGGCAACGACACAACCGGTGCGCCCAATGCCATGAACCCGCAGGACATTGCCG